TAGCACTGTGCTGGGGAGATCGGGATTCATTTCAGGTTTGGGAACAACAACAACAAAAAATTCCCCTTTTGTCCCCTCTGCAGGCTTGCCGCTGGCAGGAATTCGCAGTTCTCAGATTTAGCCACCAGAGGGCAGCAGGGGACCAGCCGATTCCTGCGAGAGGAAAGCTGGGGGATTTTGAGTTGGCAAGGATGTCGGAGGAGAGACATCTGGGCCAAACTGTTTGAAGCAGTCTTCACCGTGGGGCGGGGCTGGGTCAGGTTCCCAGGGAGAGGAGGACCAGTTATACGCTAGGCAAAGGTCCCTTGCTGCAGCACAAGAGGGAAACTCAGGCAGAAACCTAGTCAGAGCTGAGCTAACACGATGTGGGTGCGTGGAGAGGGAGGGGGAAAGGCGTACAGGCCAAGGACCAGATAGATCAAAGGCCCTTCCTGGGGGCAAGGCGCAGGCTCCTCATCTCCTGCCACCTGGTTGGGATGAAGTTTCCAGAATGCATGGCTCAAGGGCCTGATAAGTAGGAGGCAGAGGCAGAGAGAGAATCATGGCGGGGGGAGGGGGAGGCCGCAGGAGCTGGGGGGCAGCGTTTCAGAGGCAGCACAGGCCCAGGGGACTGGCACCCCTCCATGAACAGTGCAGGAGCTAAAAGTTCTTAAGCATGTCCCAGGTGTTTAATCGTGACAGTGACCCTGCGGAGGTGGGCAGGCAATACCATTCCCGTTGTACAAGGGAGGAACCCGGGGCTCGGGGTGGGAGGCGACTTTCTCAGCTCAGGATGACAGCTGATGAGCAGTGAAGCTGCCGTCCAGTGTCCAGTCCACCTGACCCCAGAGCCCTTGCCAGGATGAGAGTGGGGAAGCCGAGATGGAGGTCACGGCAGGTGCCATGATCCTGGATGAACGAGGCAGGACTTGGACCCCAAATTGCCCCACAGGCTACAGAAGCTGGGTGTGGAGAGGCGGTGGAGGCTGAGCCCTGACCTCCAGGAGTGACCAGAGAGGGAGGGGGATGTTGAGCGGTGGTGGAGGAGGATGCTGTTCAGCTCCCAGGGTGGAGGGCTCGCGTGGGAGAAAGACCCCCTTCCCTTCCTGGACCAAGAGGGAGGATGTGGAAGGGGGACAGGCCTGAATACAGGGCTCCAGCGGGGGAGGGCCGAGCGCCAGGGAGAGAAGGCAAAGGTATGCGGCCTGGCTCGCCCTGGAGGCAGTGGAGGTAGGAGCTGGGCTCCCCCTGCAACTGGGAAAGGGACCCCCTGGGAAGTTTTCAAGGATAGAGGTAGAAGGGGGTTGGGGGCTGTGTTGGGGGGCTTGGCTTGAGTTCTAGCTTCTGCATAAGCCCGCGGTAACCACCATGGAGCCTGCACTAGGTGGTTATTGGCTCTGGGCTACCATAGGAAGGCTGGCGGGTTCGGCTGGGCAGGTGTGAGGGGCCCAGCGAATTGGGGGCTGAGGGCAGGACAGCCCCGCCAGCTGGCTGTCTTGGGCGGGTGGCACAGCTTCCAGAGGCAGGGACTAGGCCCTGGACCTGACACTGGGGGGTGAGGGGTGGGAAGTGGCGCTGGGAGGGGGCACAGGGAGGGGCTCTGCTTCTCTAGCTGTATGATCTTGGACAAGTCACTCAAACTCTCTGAACCTCAGCCTCCCTCTCTGTGAAATGGTACTCATCCCAGCACCCAGCTCACAGGGTCGTGGTGAAGATCAAGAATGATGATGCATGTAGATCACAGAGCACAGCAGCTGGCGCACTGGACGTTGGCCAGATCTCACTCATTTATTCCACATTTAACACTGTGGTGCACCAGGCCACACCGGCACTGCAGACGCACGGACGGTGGGGTGCTGGGAGTGTGCGGGGTCGGGTCTGGAGGCACCCTCCGCTACCTTGCCCCCGTGCACCTCCCTGGCCTGGCTCCCTTGAGCTCGTCTCCTGCCCGGGAGCGGAACACACACAAGTAGAAAGTGTCTCCTCTCCCAACACCATGTGGGAGGCGGGCCAGGGAGCCTCTGGGGTGGCGTTTGGATGCCTGACCTTGTGCGGAGCCAGGGTCCAGCTGTTTGAGGGCAGACAGGGGCCTGACTCCCCACCCAGGCCCCGAGGAGATGCCCCTAGTGCCTTGCTGAAGGCCTGAGAGCGCTGGTGGGAATCCACTTGGAGTCTCTGGTAGGGATCAGAAAAAGCACAGAGCGTGGAGTTGGGAGGGTGCAGTGGAGGACCTGTCTGCCAGCCTGGGGCATTAGGGCCTTCCCTGGACCTCAGTTTCCCCACCCGCCATATCGGTCTCTGCCCTGGCTCCTGCCGGGATTGTTAGGAGCACACACATGAGGCCAGAGGAACAGGAGAGACTTGGGCCTGTGGCCAGGGCCCAGGGCAGAAGCCCGATGGCAGCGGGAGCCGGGGAGAGGAGAAGCAGCCAGCACAGAGCCTCCGCTGCAGCCCGGCGTCCGCTGCAGCCTGCAGTGTGTCCCAATTGCTCCAGCTCACAGGTAAGGACACATTCCAAGAAGGTGGTGGTGCTAGGAGCCTTGTCTGGGCCCCACGAGGGGCCCTTGAGTCCCCAGGGGTTTTGGTGCTTAGGTGGGAGAGGGAGTGGTGGTTGAGCCCACATGCTTCCCCGCCCCCCCGCCCCCAGATCTGAGGCACTGGCCAGTCTCCTCTCCCCGTGCCTGGTTCCTTATACCAAGGCCTTCACGGGCTGGAGCTGCCTGTGCCCCCAGACCACCCCCGCCCCTGGGGCCCTCACTCCTTGCCCCACCTTTGCAACTGTGGGCATAGCATGCTGCCTGGGGCCGAGCCCCAGCTCTGCCTCTGAACCACACACGGCACTGGGAGGTAAGAACTCAAGGTTCAAATCCTGTTCCTCCCACTGGGTGACCTCAAGTGAGCCCCGGCCTCTGGAGGCCTCAAATGTGGGGTTAGGGTGGTGGAGGACACCAGCTTCGAGGAGGGCGGGCAGGGGTGGACCCAGAGCTGAGCCCTCCCCTCTGGGTCCCCCGACACCCCTTTCCGCTGTGGACTCAGCTCTCTCTGCTCTCAGCCACCGCTGGCTGCCCCTGGACATGGACATTAGGTCCAACCGGAAATCCTTCCTGTCCAGGGGAATTACTGGTCTCCACGGCTGCAGATGTCGAAATGCAGGCTGTGTTTGCCTTGGGTTTGTTTTCTTTCCACGGAAAACAAAACAAAACAAATACGGGTGCATGCACACGACACACAAGGGCAGAAAATCGAACATTAACCTTGACACCTCAGCCCTAGCACAGGGGGTACTCAGCCAGTGAGCGAGTGAACCATGTTCCTGGGTTGGCGGCCTGGCACCCCCTCGGACTCCCTGGGTGACCTCTGGCTGGAGCCACAGACAGTGGGAGCAAGAGATCCACAGCCCCTGGCCTGCCACCCGCCAGCCAGGTGCCAAGCTGTGTGCTGGGCCTCGTGTTCACTGGGCCGGCTTATCCGCACAGTATCCCTGCGGAAGCCGGCGCTCAGAGAGGCCGGGGACTCTGCCCAGGGTCGCCCAGCCAGGGGAGGCAGGGCTGATCTGGAAGCCGGCACCGTGGGGCACAGGCCACTGAGACAGACGGGCTCTGTGTCCTCAGACCTGTACCAGGAGCGCAGCCCTCCCTGGGCTGTGGGTGGAGAGGCTCTCGTGGGAGTGATTATTCCCTCCCCCACCCACTCTGCTGGGCTGGGTCCCCTCTCTGCTCACTGCTTGGCTGCATTGACACCCACCTGCGCTCAGGCCAACTCTGGCCCCGCCCGCCATTTCATGCAGCCTGAGGCCGGGCACCCGGAGGTGAATTCTTCCTTTGTGCCAATAAGCAGGAAAGGGTTTGATGGCTTCCAGGATTCGCTGTGCACCCCAAATAGGACAAGGGGTCCTGCTCCTGGAGTTGGGAGCCTCTGTTCCTGCCTGTTCGCCACCCTTCCCCCATCCATGATCCCTGATGCCAAGGACTTACCTTGTTTTCTCTGCTCCATCTCAGGGGCTGCATGGAGACATGGGCTGGTCCACAGACATGTAGTTTGGCTATTTAATAAACTAGCTGCTGAAGTTTAAAAATTGGAGAATTTCACATAACAGCCTAGTCCCCCCACCACTCCCCACCCCACCCCAGGCGGTGTACTCTTAGATGGTAGCTATTGGCTGAAGCCGAGGATGGGATGTCCTCCAGTGAGCTGGACGCCCCCTGCCCACGGCCTCCTCCCGGCCATCACCATCCACCCCACAGGACCCTGAGGACCATTCAAAGCCCGGTGTTTCTCAGCCGTGCACACTGGGCTGATGAGGGACTTTAAGAACCTGAGGACACCCAGGCCGGTTTCTCAAGCGTCTCTGGGATGGACCAAGGCTCCCGTAGGCGATTCTGGTGAGCAGCCAGGTTGAGAACCACAAGTGCGCTGATCCTGGGCCGCAGGGCTCCGTAGGCAGGTGGCTCCTTCAGGCCTGCTTCGCCGTGGCTCCAGGCCCTGCGAGCCGTGACTTCCCGTCTGTGGCCCCGGTCAAGAGCCCCACCTTGAGACAGCCCAGACAGGTCCTTGCTCAGAAGAAGGGCCCTCTGTTCCTTCTCCTGGGGACTTTCCAGGAGGCCCTGGACACTTGAGCTTGCTCACTGTGGGATGCCCAGCGTCTGAGGCCCAAATCCCTGTCTTGGCGAGAGGGCCAAGTGGGAGCTGCAGCTGCGAGGCCTAGGGCTGCTGTCTCCGAGGAAGATTCACTCCTATATATGGTCACCAGCAGTCTCATCGCAGAGCTAACTGTGACCTAATGTGCCGACAATCTTGCCTAGTCTGGGGCCCCGCTTGGGGAGGGCCCTCGCCCCGGAGAGAGTGTCCGTTTGGGGACAGGGGGGCTGGGTGGAGGCAGGGCCAGGACAAGACATTCCAGCCGCGGGAGAGCGGAAGGGCAGCCCCAAGCCGCCCCTACCCAGCTCAGCACCCCCGAATCTGTGAAAACGTTCAGCTCCCTACCGATGCCCCGTGTAAACAAGGACACCCAGGAGCTTCTCTTGCTTTTAAAAGTTCTTTTAATACAGCATGAAAAGGCTATATTTCTATAGGTAGGCCGTATACAGATTCTCCAGGAATAAGGCACACAACGGAATGCCATCCCAAGGGCGGCCCTCGGGAGAGGTCGGGAGGCTTCTCCACGCACCCTCCGAGCTGACCCACGGGTTCTGTTTGTCTTTTTAGCTGGACACACACGTATTAACAGATACAGACACGGACAGGGTCACCACACAGGAGTGGAGGAGGTCGAACGGTGAGGTTGGCAACAGAGAGCGATGAACTCCCCCGAAGGCCGGACGCCTCCCAAACTCCAGGGTTAGTTGTCACACTGGGCTACGATGTAGTGATGCTGGATTAAATATTCGTTTAGAGTAGATTCAAGTCCATTAGATGTTGGAGGGCAGGTGTAAGGGCTCTGGGTGACAAATCCAAGTTCAAAGAGCATAGGGCACCAAGGCATGGCTCAGATGGCAAAGCTCCAAAGGGGGCGGCTGGAGAAGTCCGCCTCCTGCTTCCTCTTCCATCCTTGGGCCCTGCTGACCGGGAGCCCTGGACCAGGCCAAGGAGACCATCTTTGGAGCTGGCCGACCATGGTGGGGCTAGTGAGCCTCACGCCCTCTCCTCCCCAGGCACACTCCTGCCCCCCACAAGTTTAATAACTATAATAACAAGATAATAATAAGAAGGTGCAAGAGAATGGATTATAATGCTGTGTTATCCTCAGCTGAAGAGGCTCGAAGGGCTCACCATTCCCTTTTTCACCAAGTATCTAATAATAGCTTCCCTTAAAAAAAGGCAGTACTTTCCCAAATACACATATGTATAAATACAGGACAAGAACATATTAATAATAAGTCTAAGCACTTGAATAATATGCTGGCTACTTAATACTGATATTTTTATCCAGGGATAACAACAGAGAATAACAATAATATGGCTTAAAGAATTGCAAAGTTTTTTTTCCTCATCAGAATTATGTACCAACTTCATATAATAATCTATGTAGACAATATTTCCTTCTTAATGTAATTCAGTTGCAGACTTTTTACAGACCAAAGCATAGTAAAAAATCAACCCCCCCAAAAAAAACCAACAGGAAAAAGAGAATAGTTCTCACCATAAATATTTTCTTGCAGCTCAACCAGAAGATTTGCAAAAAATACTTCCAGAAATCTTCATTTGATATTCTATTGCCCTCCTGAAAGCTCTGAAGTTTTGAAAATGCCTCTCTTTTTGTTTACTTTAATCTCAAAAATCAGGCAATCATATTTTTCTTTTCTTTTTCTTTTTTTAAAAAAAGCCCTCAAATATATACAGACAAAAATCACTGTGAAGATTTTTCGGGAGAAGGTAACAAATTCAGTGTTGTGAGAAAAATTGGAAACCATGCAGAAATTTTAACATCCATGAATTTTCGTTTCAAAATACACACATAGTATTTTTTCTTTAAAAAAAAAAAAAAAGGAATTCTGTGTCAAGTATAACTCAAAATAAATACAAATTCACAAGTAGAACTATTGAATACTTCTTATGGGGTAAACACCGTTCTCTCCCAACTGGATCGCTAGATCTACTAGCTGCAAGCGATTGTCCCTTTGAACGTACTAAAACCACACAATTTCTTGTCTCCTGGGTGTCCAGGCCCTCTGAGCACTTGATTCTCACAGCACCAGCCTGGACAGCAGTGGCTTTCGCTGAGCACACAGAGCTCCCAAATTCAGCCAAACAGTGCAGGAGGGGGCGGTGTGGAAGGGCTGCCTCATAGGGAGGGCCCAGCCCCTGCGGTGGCCAGCTCTGCACAGATGGCGGGGGCTGCCAGCTGGACAAACCCACTGCAAAGGTCACTTTGGGGTGATATCCCTTCTCCTCTTGGCCTGTGGAAGGCCCTGGCCTCAAGGGGTCTGGAGCCTGGGTTCTTTCTTAGGTGTGGGCTTGCCCCATGACTGCAGCCCAGGTACCTGAGGCCAAGGTCCCCCTGTGGAGCCAGGTCCCTGGAAGGGTTGAGACCTGGTCCTTGCAGCAGAGGCCAGCACACTGCCCACCACTGCGAATGTTCTCGTTAGCAGGGCACTAGGATGACTGACAGCAACAGCTTCTCCTTGGGGACAGAGAGCCCTGGAACAGGGTGACTCTGGCTCACCTTGACACCCTGGAGCAGGCAGGGAGCAGCTGGGAGGGATTCCTCAGTGGGCGGTGAGCGTGTTCACAGTCAGGGGCAGGCCGGAGGGAGGCCGCTACAGGGCTCAGGCTGGAGCAAATACACCCTTCTTAAATGCTCAGAGGGCATGGCCCCCCCCACCCCCCTGCCCAAATCTACACTGCAGCCCTCTGGCTGCAAACGCACTCACTCCATCTCTTCGACTCACTCCCTGGACCCCTGATTAACACTTTGCTGTAACTCCTCAGTTGTACAAAGCATTTTCATTTGAAAACAAAAGGCAACTGGACACGGGTTGGGTGTCCTTGAGCCGTGGTAAACACTGAATTTCAGGCCCATTTCGTGGTCTGATTTTTTTTTTTTCCACAGAGGCATAATGTTGGGGCAAAATCAAGTGACCCAGCTCTGACAGCCGGTTCCCCTGGGAGAAAGGAAGGGTGCTACGACAATAAAAATAGGACTTCTCACTGGGGAGGGAGCAAAGAGGAAGGCGATCCCCCCACTAGCCAGGACAACGTCGCCCTGACCAGTGTGAACGCCAAGAGGCCTCTCCCCACCTCGGGAGGTAGGAATCATTATCCCCACTTTGCAAACGAGAGGTTCTGTAGCTTGTCTTGGGGTGGGGGAAACCCTCTCCTTCACGTTTGCAGGGTAGGGGACAGCAGGCAGGGCTGGGCCTGCAGGGGCGACAGGGGAGGACGGGATCCCTCCGCGTGACTTCTTAAGTGACCGACTGACGGGTGATACTGGGGGCACGGGACCTGGGGATACCGTCCAAATAAAGCTTTCTGCTCCAGGAGATGGCACACAGCCAGGCTGAATCCCAGAACATCAGAACAGAAACGGGCCTCTCGGCTCTCTGCTGTCTCTGTCACTTAACTAGTAGCGAAGCAGAGAGATGAGAATCCTTCCCAGGCTCCACAGTGTGTCGGCGCGAGGCCAGCATTAAAACCGGGGTCTTTGATCTGCCTGGCCTGTGTCCTTCCTGCCAGAGTGGCTTCCCTGCTGGGTCCTGTGGCCTCCATCAGGGAGTGGCCCCCTATCGTGGGTGGGAGGGGAGGGAGAGGGGAAGGGAATGGGGCTGACAAAATCCTAGCAAGTGGGGGCAGTAGGTGCTGGGAGAGGGGGGAGGCATTGCCTGATGTGCCCTAGGTCACACCTTGGAACACTGTCCAACATTCAGTGCCTCCCCGTGCCTGACCTCTGGGTCTATGGTGGGGGGCAGGGTGCGGCGCCCAGGTGCAATGCCAGTGACGGCAGAGGCGGTCAGGTTTGGGGCTCAAAGTGGCAGGGGGCAGAGATGCCCGCTCCCCAGCAGCTGTGAGAACAGGTGTCAGCTTGCCATGAGTGCTGACTTAGACAGAAAATTAGGGCTTTCTGAGAGTGGCTTTTCACACAGGGCAAACTGGAAGGTTCTGGGTGGGAAAAGCGGCCTGGCCGGTCTTGGGGAGACAGTCCCCTGCAGGCTCCGGGATTCACAGTAAATTTAGTGCACTCGTGGCCAATACAAGGCTGCTCACCCCAAAGGGAGTCTCAGAGGAGAGCCTGCGGGGACACCAAGGGCTCTGTGTGGTCTTGTGCGCTGACCTCTGCTTGCCCTATTCCCTCCACACAGACCCAGGGCCCCCCGTAGAGAGTCGCAGAGACCCGGCCTTCTGGGGGCGCAGCTACGTCAGTAACACTGTTTGTCAACATACATGAGCCAAGAGCCCACCCCCTAGACCTGTAAGCCTGCGAGGACGCCCCCGCGCACACAGGGGACACGCAGGGGGGTGGCGTCTTCTCTGGCTGGCAGGAGGGCGGCGGGGCCCAGCAGGCGGCCGGGTCATTGCACGCGCCGGCAATAGTAGCCCAGCACCTTGCACTTCTCGCACAGGTGCTGGGGGTGCTCCTTGCTCTGGTCGGACACGTCCAGGCCATCGGGCTTCTCCAGGGGTCTCTGCAGAGAGGAAGGAGGAAGCGGGCCCGAGGGTGGGGAGGAGGGAGGGGAAAGAAAGAAATACCAGAGGAGCAGTGACAGTGAGGCAGATGCGGAGAGAGGCAAGAGAGTGCTCGAGACAGACAGGAGGAGGGAGACAGACAGGGAGGGCCCAGAGAGAGAGCGCAGGCGTCTGTCATCAGAGGTTGTTTCCCAAAGCGCCCAGGACCCTTCCTGCTTCTTGCTTGCTGCAGGCAACCCGAGTGTCCTGAGTCCTGCATCCTGGGAGGCATAGGCTGAGGCCTCGGGCTGGGGTCAGTGCTTTGGGAGGAGGTCTTGCACACAGAGCCCCAGGTCTACATGCCACTTTGCCCCCCAACTCCACCCCCGCCAGTACTCTCTGAGCAGCCACCACCTGAAGCTCACGAATGCCCGAGACGGAGGCAGCACAGCGGGGCACAGACATTATCCAGATGAAGAAACTGAGGCCCAGCGCAAGGGAGACCCAAGCCGCATCTCCTGATTCCCAGCATCCACTGCTTCCTCCCAGGCCACTTGTCACCACCACACCTGATCCTGCGGCCTCAATACTCAAGGGGAGTTTAACCTGGACGGGGTCACAGTGTTTCAGGCTTTGGGTAAGCGAGCCCTTAGCTCTGTGACGTCAGCAGCCAGTGTTCTGATTCATCCCACATCCCAGGGCCTGGCACAGTGCCTGCCTCGTTAGTGGAGTGGCTAGGTGTTTCTGAACAGGGAAACTGAGGTCCAGAGAAGGGAGGTGACTTGCCAGACCTCTGAGGCTACTCACTCAGAGTGTGGCCTCAGAGAGCCTCGGTTTCCACATCTGTAAAGTGGGCCATTGTTGCAGCTCGTTTACAGGGTGGAGTCAGATGTCTAGATGCTTGTAAACTGAGTGGCGTTTGGCACATACAAGCACGTTTCTGTTACACAGGGGGCTTCCCTGCTCCCTCTGTACCTCGCATCCTGGCTCTCAAAAGCGAGCTTGTTTCTCTGGAAAATGTACGGAGGTTATTAGGCACACCTCCCGAGGCAGACGGTTTCTTGGCTGGCAGCCGTAGCCCCAGCCCAGAACCCCTACCTGTAGCAGGGTCCTCTGCATGGACTCCGGGGAACTCAAAGGAAGCTGATCAGGGCCAGCTGGGAGCCACTTGCCGAGGACAGGGGGCAGGAACTGCAGTCTGGTGTGAGCCAAGGGAGCCTTGGTGCCAGTGACCAGGACCCAGAACGGTCCTGGAGGGGAGCTGAGCGTGAGCGCTACCCCTTGGACAGGCTGCAAACAGCTCAAAAGTAGCGCACCAACTTTTCTGCCTGATTATGCAGTGCCTGGCCTGAAGCTGACACTCAGAGGAGAGAATGGACGAGTCAGAGGGCTCTAGAAAGCGAGTGTATGGACTGTGGGTGGGCAGGGTTCTGATCCAGGGTCATAAAGCCCATCCCTGTGCTTCCAGGCCTAAAGCCACACTGGGAAGACATGGAAATAGGGCAGGAGCCTTGGCTTCATCTCAGTAAGCTTTAAATGACGGGCTTTCCTAGCCAGGGGAAAGGAGAAAGAGTTTGGCTTCATGTCAAACCTGGACTCAAACTACCTATGAGCTGTGTGACCTTGGGCAAGCCACCTGACCTCTCTGATCCTCCACTTCTTCATCTGTAAAAGGAGATGTCAGTAACACTTTTCTCACGAGACTGTTGTTACCACTCAAGGGAGATCACAAATAGAAAGCGCATAGCACATAAAAGTTATTAATGTTGTTTATTATTATTACTAATAGGAGGGGAATACCAGCTGGTAGAGGGCCACTGAAAGTTGAAGCCACAATTCCAAGCTGAAAGACCTGGGAAGGTCACATCCCCTGCCCTCCAGACATCTTGATACACACCTACAGTATCCCAGGGCATGGCCTACACACCCCAGCGCTGGAGAGCTCCCCGGCGGCTGAGCTCACCGGCTCAGCCCATTGCCTGCACTTCACGATCTTGGGCTGAAGTCTGGGTCCCTGTACGCCCATCCCAGTGATCCCAGCCACACAGGGGCCATGCAGACTCTCTGCTGGCCCCCATAGGTCCAATGTGAGCAGCTCTGAAGTCTTTCCTCCCCCAGACTAAACCCAGCCTGATGTCCAGCTCCCCTCCCGGACTCTTCATGCTGGTCCGAGCCCCGCCCCCGAACCCATCTTCCAAGTGGGGCCGGAGAGACCAGAGCAAGCAGGCCTGACGCCACCCTTGCTGCCTGTGGTTTACACTTTGCAAAGCACGGCCACATAAATCATACAACCTAACGTCCTGTGAGGGGAATATTATCATCCTCATATATTACAGATGAGGAAACCGAGGCTCCAAGACATTAAAGGCCCTGCCAGAGGCCTGCAGCTTTACCTACCTGCCAAGGACTGTTGGGAGAGAACTTTCTCCTTTAGAACCTTAACTTGCCCTTCTGTAACTTGGGTTGGGGGCGTTTAATAACATTTGCTGTACGTGTGATAGGGAGAGAAGTAAACGAGATGACTGTCTTAAGGTAGTTTCTAACCATAAAAAGCTCTGTAAGACTCTATAATTGCTGTGTGACCTCTTGCAAGTCACTTAACCTCTCGGTGCCTCAATTTTTCTCCTCTGCACAATGGGCTAATAAGGGTACCTACTTGATAGGGTTGTTGTGAAGAGTAAATAAGTTAATATATGCCAAGTTTTTAGAACAGTGCCTGGTACATAAAGAGCAGTGTTGATCAGTATTAATATCATGTATTATTGCTATTATTATTATGTAGAGGGAGCGGGCTGGGAACAGGGGAACCAGCTGAGTCCCTGTGGAAATGCACTTGCAACATCCTGGCCATCCCCGCTCCTTGGCCATGACCCTGTCAGCGCCCCTTCCCTCCACGGGTCCTGGCTCAGCCCTGCCCAGGCACTGGGTGGAGGAGCTGGGGAAGCTGTCAAGGCGACTCCCCTCTGCGAGGGAAAAACAGTCAGCAGCTGGGATTGATCACCCCAGGGCCATCCCCACCCCCCGCAGTGAGGCAAAGCCCATTAGTGTTTTCTTCTCATGGGGGGCAGGGCTGGCAGGGGGGAGCCGCAGCTGGAGGCTGACGGGAAACAGATGTGGTAGAGGAGGGAGGGGAGGGGAAGTGGAGGGTTCTCAGGAGATGGATACCACACAGGTCAGAGCTCAGGGCGCAGTAGAAATAAAGCAACCCCTCTCCACCGTGGGGGGCAGGGAGAGTATGGGGGGACAGAGGCTCTGAGCCCCTCCTCTCAGCTCTTCAAAGGCTCCTGACTGCTGGGGAGCTCGGCAGGGCCACCACCCCCTCTGCCCTCAGCCCAGCTTGCCACTTCCCTGAGGGAGAAGAGCCCTGTGACAGGAGGTTGGGGGGTGAGGCAAGGGGAGACCCGGTCCCAGGCCCCCCTGACTGGCTGAGTGACCTTGCTCAAGTCCCACCTCCTCTCTGGGCCTCAGTCTCCCCGCTGCACACAGTAGGTGCTCAACAAACAAGGGCTGAATGACGAGGAGAAGGAAAAGCAGAGCCACACGCCCTTGGAAGATTCTTCCTCACTGGGCCTGGGAGACTCTGATCCTGAGTGTGGAGACGGGGAGGTGATGGTCAGGGAGGCTGTGCTTGGACTGAGCTTCGCAGGATGGAGACGAAGCAGGAGAGGCCACTGCCAGCCTGGGGGATGGGGGTACGGGCCCGGCATCATGGAAGGGGTGCTAGGGCAATACAGGGGTGCGGCCAAGGAGGCTGGAGCCACACTGGAGAGTTGGGTCCTGGTGGACTTTGGTGCATGGCCTGGGCCCTGCCTCTCTGATTAGGTCACAGAGGTGTGAGAGTCATGAGGACTGAGCCTCCCAGACCCTAGCACAGCCCCAAGCACCATACGTCTGAGCCACTGCAGGAACTGGCCCATTCCCAGCTCCCCTCCCCAGCCAGCCACCCTGACCTGCCCTTGCTGTTCCCCCTGCCCCCGCTTCCCCCAGGCCACTCATCTGTCCCCTCCAGGTTCCATGTTTTCCTCCAGCCCCAAACTTGATCCCTCTTCATGAGTTCCAGCTTCTCTACTGACCTTGGGTAAGTCACTTATGCCCTTTGCCTTAGTTTCCTCCTCTGTAAAATGGGGAGACAATAGAGCTGACCTCATGGGGTGGCTGAGAGGATAAAGGTATAAAGGTATACGCAGAGGAGTGCCTGGCCACCGCACACTGCTGTCACAACTTCCCCAATTCCTGCCAGTCTCCAGTGACTGAGACGCACATACAGCACCCCTCTTCTCTCCTGTGCTCGGAGCCCAGCCCAGCGCTTTGCTCCAGCCCACCCAGTTCAGAGAGCATGAGCTGGGACACCAACGGAGGCCTGCCTGGCCTCAGGGCCGGGCTCCAGACACAGGTGCAAGTTCAACGCCAAGGCACCACTTCCACCTGGGGGCCCTGGAAAGGCCACGTGGCTTCTCAGGACTGCACGTTCCCTCCCAGTGAACAGGACACCCGGTCTAAGGGCAGAGCACACATGAAGGGTGTGCAGGGGCTCAGCAAACGGCACCCGGAGGGTGACCACACCTGCGACTCAGAAGAGGAGTTCTCTGAACGCCAGTTGCTAACCCTGTCTGATGAAATCCTGTCCCTTGGGTTGCAGAGGAAGCTCCTGGAAAGCCAGGCAGCCCCCTGACCTTCGTCTTCCTTCAGAGCCTGCACAGACCTGGCGAGCAGCCGTCAACAAAGTGTGTCCAATGAGAGAAAGTAGGAACCCCTCTGACAGCACGGGCCACGCACAAGGGCCCTGGGGGAGCAGAGTTCAACGAGGGCGAGCGTGCTGACAGTCAGACATTTGGGGAGGTGCTTTTGAACTGGGGTTCCAGACCAACTCAGGAATTGCCAGGAAGACTTCAGGATCCAGGTGCCGTGGCTCCTTTACACTGCCCGCCTTCAGCCCCAGCCCCGACATGCTCCTACAACACTACGTGCATATCACGTGCCCTGTGCCCAGCCACTGGGTCATCAAGCCTGTCTTGGCGCTCCAGAGCCTTGGTGTCTCCCTTGGTGCCATTAGGTTGTGGGCCAGGCCCCCTGCACTAAGGAGCCCCTTGTCCACTGGGCTGCATGGCCAGCTTCCCATCTATTTGCCTGTGTGTGACAGTGTGGGTGATGGCAACCATGGAAACCCTTGGGGGCAGGAGGATGAAGAGTCTGCACACAGAGGCAAAGGAGGCCTGCACGAGGGTCATAAAATCACAAAATGTTTCAACCACAAGAGTCCTCTTGGACAACTCCCAGACGCTCCTAGTAGGATAAAGACCAAATTCCATGCCATGGCCTCTGAGCCAGCCCAAGGCAGCCCGGCCCCTCCTTCCGCACTTTGCTTCACCCCTCAGCTCCTCCAGTGCTCGGCTGGGCCCCTGTCCTCTCCACTCTGCACGTGCTGTTCCCTCACCAGAAGCGCACCCTCCCCTCTCTGCCACTCCCACCCCAGTCCCCTTCGTCTGCTGACCCTCCACTGCCCCTCGGAGCTCAGCCTGACGTCACTGCCTCGGCGGATCCTCCCCCATCCTCCTGCCTCCCTTTCCCTGTGGCCTCCTCTGCCCGCCCCCACCCCCCGCCCCCGCTCCTGCCATCCGTCTTGGTGACTCAGCTCACACAGGGAAGGCTCGCCCCAACCCCCGCTCCCCCTACCCCAACTACCTCACCGGCAGTGACCGTGTCTCCCACCATCCCCTCAGCCAGAGCCTGGACTTGGCCTTCAGAAACCTGCTCTCTGTCCGGCTCTGGGGTCCCGCACTCCCCCCAGTCCGGGCCCCGCCTCTCCATCAGGGCCCCTCTGGCTTCCCTTCCCAGCCGTCCAGCTCACAGCCCAGGACCACACTCTTCCAACATCACACCTGACTCTTTGAACTCTTCCCTCTGAAACACTCATCTGGCACACCTCTGTCCCCGAACCCCTGTAACACCATCTCTGGCCCACACCTGTGCAGTGAGCACTACTGGCCAAGTCACAGAACCGGGCTGACGGCTTGGGTGACAGTTATGATCTCGAAGCGCCCCCTGGGCTGGCATGCTGCTTGCCAGTCCGGCTATGTTTCTCTATTAGGTTTGCTTCCTCCCTTGTCCTTCCCCAAGCCCACCACACCCCTCCTCACTCTGACTTTTAGCTGAAAACCTCATGTCCCATTTCACTGAGAAAACAGAAGCCCTGGAAGTGAGGTCCCCCTTCTCTGCCCCATCAAACGCACAACCGTCCCCAATCATCCCCCACCTCCCTCCCTCCTGGGCTGATGATAAGGCATCCCCCTCTTGTCCCTTTATCATCAGCCTTTTGCTTTCTTCTGGGTCATTCTCATTTGCCTATAATGTGCTCCAGGCTCTCCCATCTTCAGAACACCCATCTCAACGCCACCGTCCCTACTCTAGCTACTGTCCCATTTCTCTGCTTCTCTCCACAATCAATGCCCTTTGCAAAAGTGGACAGTGAAGGTATTTCCTCTGCGGCCTGGCCCAGGGAACCTCCACCACCATGGACACTGCCCTGGCCAACAGATCCGCTGTGAATTAACATCTCCCCTCCGCCTCATGTCCGACCTAAAGGGCATCGGCTTCAGTGGGTCTCAGAGCTTGGTGGCAGCTCAAAAAGTGCTCCAGGTAAAAGTGATGCCCTCCAAAGTTTCGGGACCACCTCCTTATTACCAAACCTCAAGGGCCCTTCTCCATGGTCATTACACCTGACATCTCAGCACCAGCCACCCCCTGTACTGCCACCCTCCCACCCCCAGGACTCCACGCTCCTTGGTCCCCCTCCTCGCTGGATGCTTCTCCTCCATCTGACCTCCGAATGCTGGGATTCCACAACACATGGTCTGGGGAATCCCTTCGCTACTTTACCCACATTCTGCAGGAAATCTCATCATTCCCTAAATACCTTTAGGCCAATGGTACCCAATTCCCGGTGAACCACCTTGACTTCTCATACGAGCTTCAGAATAACAAACCCAACTGCCCTCTTGACGTCTAGACCTGGATTTTCAGGAACATCTCAAATGTAGCATGTATTAGAGATCTCTTGCCTTTATCTAGGACACCTATGTCCCATCCCAACTGCCCCCAGCCCAGGCTGCCCACCTTGGTCACGACCACCTCCATCCACTCAGGAGCTCAAGCCAGAGCGTGATTGTTCTCATTCCTGGATTCCTGGCCCCCCCTCACCTTTCACATCCCATCCCGTGATGCTCTGTGTTGGACCCAAATCCAGAGCCACCACCTGAGTTCAGACCTCCTTCGGTTCGCCCGGGACTATGGCCATGGCTTTCCTGCTGGTCTCCCCAGTCTCCCAGCCCCTCTAGGCCAGTCTCTACACACAACCAAAGCAATCAGCTCAAAATGAAGCTGAAAGCCCTGTTGCTGGGGGCTTCCTTGTAGGGCCCCCCGAATTCCTCTGGTGACTGCTCCATTTAGCTCTCCCATATCTCCCACTCCACTCTCCTGTTCCTTCACTGAGCTTTCAGCCTTGAGCATCTCCAGTCCAACAGTCTCAGGGCATTAGCATTTGCTGTACCCTCTTCCCAGGATGACCATCCTCCCTCTGGTGACAGGTCTAGCTTCCTCCCCTGCTTCAGGCCCCAGAGTAAATGCCGCCTCCTCTCTGCAGCCTGCAGTAAGTGAGTGCTGCCTGGGACGAGCTGCCTCAACCCCCTCCCAGCAGGGCAGGCCGGCCCTTGGCCACCAGCCGCGTTGCACAGTATCTGGCACCCAGTATCCACCTTGTAAACATGCGCCAACTGGGCGAAGAACCAACAAAATGCACTTTTCTACAGCATCCCGCCGCCTGCGTATCCCTCTTTGTGTCACGGTTGCAGTTCGTTACTTTCAAAATTCACTGGGGTCTGTGGTCTCAGGGTCTTCGTACAGTTGCCCCTTTATCTTCCTTCCCTTCCTGGAGAAACAAGCCCTCTCCCCCCCACTTCCTATGAGACAAGGAAAGAAAGGGCTAACTTGGATAGATCTGGTCCCATCCCCATCGTCTGAGGCTCAGTAAGGGAAAAGCTCCCCTCCCCCGGTCCTTCTGCCTCACCTGCTCCCGCTCCCCCGCCCCTCGCCCGGCTCACCTGCTTGTGTGGGTACACGTTGATGTGGCACTTGATGCACTCCTGCCCCATATTGGCCCAGGAGTTCCCGCTCATCCATTTTCTCTTGCACTTGGGACACTTGTACTCGCCAAAGCAGCGCTTTTTGCCCTGGTACGGGGTCAGACCCTCGCCTTTGGGGCGTGCCTAGAGGACAGGAAGCAAACACAGGGATTAGGATCCAACAGGCCAAAATGATGCCCCACAGGGGTCCTCATGGTTTCCCTCTTCAGCCTTCATGCCCTGTGTCCCCATGTGCCGGATACCTTTTGTCCTCAGTCCAGAGAACACCAGAGTCACCCTCAGAGCACACATGGGAATCCCAAGGCTGGGAGACTCGTGTGGGGACAGAGAACAGAGGAGATGGTGAGTGGCGCACATCTCTTTTAGATTTAAGGGAGCAAAGTCCTCGATGGTGGCTAGGAACTACTCCTTTAACTCTGCTGTCATGAAGGGGCAGCTGGTGGTCACATGACCTCACACAGGTGCTCTCTGGCCCTGGGTGGTGTGCTTTAAATGGCTACTGAAGAGACAACGCAGGCAGAATACAACCTTGTAAGCAGCGAAAGTGTGTCTCCCCTCACCCCTGCTCCCAGCCATCTGCTGCCTTACCTGGCGGCTATCTGAATTTCCTTTAGACCACCCCAAAGATGGGCTCTCCATTTACAAACATATACACCATATACATACGTACGTGCATCCTTTCTTTTCCCTCACTTGTATGGAGACAGATTATATACTTGGTTCTACATCTTCCCTTTTCACTTAATAATATATCTCAGACATATATATATATAATATTTTCCACCAGATCAGTATAAACAGAGCTGCTGTATTGTGTTTGAGGGTTGCACAGTATTCAAATCTATGCAAGGTTCATAGTGCTTTCCCATCACTACTGCAAATGTCTAGATTGTTTCCACTCTTCTATTGCAAGCAATGCTACTATGAATAACTTTGCATATATGTGTGTATGTACATATATAATTTTGCACAGGTGACAGTACATTTGTTGAATAAATTCCTAGAAGTAAAATTGCTGGGTTGATGGGTATGTACAATTTTCATTTTTAAAGATGACAATTGCCACTACCCGCCTCCATGCCTCCAGCTGCAGGTGTACCAACTTAATGTCCCGTCTCCTCCCGAACAGAGTTTTCATCTTTGCCAACCTAAGAGGTAGAAAATCTTCTCAGAGTAGCTTTGACTTGTACGACATGTATTATGAGCAAGTGAGATTTTTTTTTTTTAAATACGTTGTCTTCTGCCTTTTTTAAAAAAAATTTATTTATTTATGGCTGTGTTGGGTCTTTGTTTCTGTGCATGGGCTTTCTCTAGTTGTGGCAAGCGGGGGCCACTCTTCATCGAGGTGTGCGGGCCCCTCACTATTGCGGCCTCTGTTGTTGCGGAGCACAGGCTCCAGACATGCAGACTCACTAATTGTGGCTCACAGGCCCAGGTGCTCCGCGGCATGTGGGATCTTCCCAGACCAGGGCTCGAACCCGTGTCCCCTGCGTTGGCAGGCAGATTCTCAACCACTGCGCCACCAAGGAAGCCCAAGAGAGAATTTTTGCATTTAAGAACCACTTGTGTTTCCTTTGTGAACTGTTAGTTCATATACTTTGTGATTTTTTTTTTTTCTGCTGGGGCTTGGTATTTTTCTTGTTGATCTGTAATTGCACTTTATATATTAAAGAAACTGGCTCTCTCCTATATGGTATTTTTTTTTAAGCAGGTTTATTGAGATATGGTTCACGTACCCGACATTTCACCTGTTTAAGGTGTAAAGTTTAATGGGTTTTAGTATATTCACAGAGTTATACAACCATCACTACAGTCTAATTTTAGAACATTTTTCATTACTCCCCCAAAGAAATTCTGTATTCATTAACAGTCACTCACCACCCAACCCCCCACTTCCTCACCATACCCAGCCCCAGGCAACCACTAATTTACTTTCTCTTTCTATAGATTTCCCTACTCTTGACATCTCATACAATAATTGCCCTTTTGTGTCTGGCTTCTTTCACTCACTGTAGTGTTTTTAATGTTCATCCACATTGCAGCATGTATCATTATGTCATTCCTTTTTGGTGCCGAATAATATCCCATTATATGGTCATGCCATATTTTATTTACTCATTCATCAGAGGAAAGACACTGGGTTGTTTCTAATTTTTGGCTATTATGAATAATGCTGCTATGAACATTCATGTACAAGCTGCCTAGTGTTTTAGAAAGTTGAATTTGTTGCCCCATTATTTGAAAGTGCGAGATTTCACATAGAAATATGACCACATTGGTCCAGAATCCTTGCTGGTGATTATCAGCTGAGGTTAAGGAGTGGCCGCCCCATCAGATCGACTGCAATGCATTCTCCGTGTCACCTCTGTTCCGACCAGCTGCGCCCTGCATTATGTCACCTGCTTAGCACTCACAGGATTTGAGTTTGAGGCCGGCTTAAATGCAGGCACTACACTGTGACTGTCAGTCATTCCTAGACTGGCATCCTGAGCATTGCCTGGGAGCTCATTAGAAATGCAGAATCTCAGGCCCCATCTTCGATCCACTGAATCAGAATCTGCATTTTCACAGGAGCCCCAGAGAATTCATACGCTATTAAGTTTAAGAAGTACTGGTCTATGAGATGGTCTGTTTCCATAGTAATGTTTCCTTGGGTATTTGCCTGTTTCTGAAGTAGTGCATGAAAGTTAAGAACACCAGACTCTGGACCCAAATCTTAGCTCTGTGATCCTGGGCGAGTCACTTCACAAGACTAATGATAGGAACTACCACGAAAGACTGTTCTGAGGATTAAGTGAGGTAAAACACTTAGAACAATGCCTGGCAAATCAAACAGGAGTATTAATTATTATTATTTAATAATATAGAACAATAGCGGTATATAAAATAATAATTTCTTCCTTCAGTAATCATGTCTTTTTTGCCCAGCCGCCATTACCACCACTTGGTGACAGCCTACCAGAATTACAGACAAAACCCTAGAAATGGACGTACATGCTGAATGTGTAGATCTAAACTTAGAAAGTGACAACAACGCCGCCCTGGTCTTTTGGGCCCACTGCCTAATGTCTTTTGGATCGTTATTGGCCTTCCTGGAAGCCATGATATCCTGGGGAGAAGACGGAGCTCCAAGGCAAGGCTGGCTCTCGGCATTGGTCAGGTCCATGAGAGAGGCTAGTTATGCCAAGGGGAGCACTCGGCGTGCAGCCAGGGCCCAGGGTCCAGTCAATTTGCAGTAGACAGGCCACCTATGACTCTGAAGGCACTTCGAGTTGTGTTGGTCTCAAGATACGGGGTGTGCAGTGACCCAGCCACTTCTGGTGGCACGTTTTTCTACCTGGTGCCTGGTACCCACAACTTACACAGCCTCCGTTCTGCAGTAATCCTGAAATAAAGTACTAGATGAACTCAGTTTCCTGGTCCCTGTTCTTAAAGGCACTTACATTTTAAAGGGGGACAAGGGATAGGCATGTGGTGCCTCACTGATGGTAGGATTTGAGACTTCTTGGTTGAAGTGGGAAATGTGGGGGCCATCACCAGCCAGACCCACTCTGGGATCTGGTTCTGCAGGCCTCTTGGTTCAGAGACTGATGGGACCTGGCACCTGGCCTCACACAGCTGGGTCCAAGGGCAAGGGTCAAGGCATCTCGGGACACTCAGCAGAGTGAAGGGTGAGGATTGGGGCAAGATTGACAGTTCAGTTCCCAAAAAGTCTCTGCTTCAGAAATGAACAGGAAGGAAAGGTACACAAATAAAAAGATAACGGCATGTGCACCAAAGGGATAAGCAGGAAGGTGAGAGAAGAGCAAGGGGGTGAGTCGGAAAGCATCACCACACCATGTAATTAGAAACCTGGACATTCTGGAGCCTTCCATCAAGGACTGGGAGCTTCTGGGCAGGGACAGGGGCTCCAGGCTCCTGCAGTATCAAACACCTTCAGCGCGCCATTCCCACACTGCTGTCAGGCCAGGCACTGGGAGGGCCCAGCTCTGACACCCCACCACATGATACGTGGCTCAGATCTTAGACTTCAGGGCCAGATGCCAGTGGTGGCATTCTACCTCTGCCTGTGACTATCTGGGGGACCTTCAGCAGAGCTATGCAACCTCTTAGTGACTCGGTTTCCACAGGAACCCAGGATGAGGATAACGGGCCAGCTTTCCCAGCGCTGTTGCAGGGATTTGATGCATTCACGCAGATGAAGGTCTTAGCTCGGTGGGTGGACACTGCAAGTGCTCAGTAACCATTAGCGATTTCAGTAGCATTCGCTTCTGGGGCTTGTGCAGGGAGAGGGAGCAGATGTGTTCCAGGTGATACAGAGGCTGGGGCTGAGACCAATGGCATAAACCATAAGAGGAAAGTCCCAAAGATGGGAGGGAAGCCTGAGTAGAGGGTGGGCTCCCCACCCCTGTGCTGCCGGGGGGTGGGGGGTGGCAAGCAAAATAAGAACAGCATTAGGTGTCTTCACCTTCTGGAATCCTCGGGGGGAGCCAAGAAAGGTAGAGGAAGGCTGTGGAAGCTCTGTGGATGCTGCTGGCAGAGGACAAAGGGAAGAGTGAAGAGAACAGACTTTTACGAAGGACCACCTGTGAGCTAGGCTTTGTGCTACAGCTCCATGGCCTGTCAGGCTCCCATTCAACTCTCCCCATAACCCTGTGGGGCAGGGAATATCATCACCCACTTAACAGATGGTGAAACTGAGGCACGGAGAAGGGAAAGCACTTGCCAAAGAGTTTCTAGTATGTGAGGGGCAGGAGGCCAGGCCCAGCAGGCTTTTCCACAAGGCTACACCCTTTCTGTCTGTCACCCCCAAGTGTGTCCCCACCATGAAGCTGAGGCCTGTGCTCAGGAGAAGAAACCCCCCAGGCCCCAGGGCCTCCAGCTCAGCCTAGCCCAGTGGCTTTGCCCTCCTACGGGTCAGAGGGGAGAGATGCCTGTGGGGCAGGGGCAGAGAGGCAGTGGATGGAGGGAGGGCAGGCCAGCAGGCAGCTCTGGGCAACGAGCAGCAGCTTCCCGGAAGGGCTCAGTCCCATCAGTCTTAGGCTTACAGACAAGAGCAGGGCCAAAGGGAGTAGGAATTTTTGACAGAAAGAAGGCTTCTCTGCCCCCCACACTTTCCCCCT